GGCCCTTCCACACTCACCTCTGAAATCAGGAAGCCATTGCGATACCAGGTAATACTGGGCTTCAATGAAGCTTTGCTGAGACAGTGAAGATAGGCTGGTTTGCCTTCTTCCAGTTGAACATCCTTGGGCTTTATCACCCACGTTGGCTTGGCTGAAAAGAACAGCAGATACCAGGCTGAAACTGACTTAGTGGCAGAAGACACAGGCAAGTGTCAAATGCCTGTTTGGCCCAAAGACTTACTGAATGGGCAGGCCAAACCCTATAACATCTGTTTCTCAGCCTGCAGCAGAAGCCATTTCACTAGACATGGTCAAAAAACCCATCAGAATCATGCTGGACTGATTAGCAAGGACTGTGCTTCAGCCCTCAAATCCAGCATCAGGCTCATTTGTCTCCAGAGAATCAAACAGCTCTGTTATTTTCTCCCTCCCATCCATTGTGCTTGTAATCGCTCCACTCTACCTATGATTTGTATTCAACCCATACCAGACAGGACTCCCCCCTCTGTCCTTTTCATTATACACAACAGAACCTGCTTACTGGCTACTGTGATGATCTGATCTTGTTTTTTTCCTCCAGCCTTGTTTGCTGCATGGCAAGTGTATATCCCCGCATCCTTCTCAACAATGCCCTCGAAGATGAGTTCCTCTGCTTCTTGCCGTACCCTGCCAGTAGTGGGGACGCGAACGCCATTCCTTTCCCACCAAATATGGGGCTCAGGGACTCCCCGAGGTGTGTAACAGACCACACGCTGCTCTGTATTGTCTATGAAAGTCTTTGGCTCGAGTGAAACCATATCGTGAATTTCTGAGGAAAACAAAAGTTTAGAGTTTAGAACCCAGGACAGTTTGAAAGCTGCTTGGGAGAGGGCTGGGGAAACTGAGAGCCACAGAAACAGGCATATCTCTATTCAACTTCCTGCACAAGCTACATTTCCATTTGTGGGATAAGCAGGTTCAGGAGAAACAAAAAGAATAGCCCAACCAGCCTTGTCTCACCCAGATTTAGGCCCAGGCAAGACACGCCCAGTTCATGCCTACCAAACCAGGCAAAGCCCACTAGGCATTCTAAGACACCAGTTCATACCTGCCAGCTGAAGAGTTGCTTCCAAAATGACAGGCTTTCCTCTCTGCCCACGGCCAACACATTTGTAGACCCCAACATTACGCAGTTTCACCTGAGGTATTAGCAAAGAGCCATTGGAAAGGACCACAGTCCTTTGGGAACCCAAAGAAAAGAAAAAGGTTGAGGTCAACCACTGAGCAAAGCCGAAATGCTAGCAGACACACAATAACGCTATCCATCATCTTGATGCTTCTCCACACTATGCTTTGTGCTGTGAACAAGTGAAAGGGGATGGTGCAGAAGAGGACAGGATCTATACATAGTAGACAAGATAGACCAGCTTTCATACAGGAAAGACTCTTGAAATTTTAAGAGGGGAAAAACAAATTCATTGGTCATTATGCAGCCTAATATATTATTATCTGAAATAAAGATGAGCAACGCTTAGCGTCGGGAAGGCTTTCAGAACCATTCCATTAAACAGCAATACTGCAAAACATGGATTAACTGCTCTGTCTATCAAGCAATATTAAAGGTTCATCTCCTTGTATTATCTCCTACCGGTACCTTATCATCCTGAACCGGGCTGCTTACCTGCTCATATTGGAAATTATTTTCCCATCAAACAACCATTCCTGAGTAGGTGGTGGCTCAGCTGTGAACTGGCAATGGAACACGGCCTCCTCATTTTTATTGACAATCTGGTTCTCAGGAACAATTACTGGGCGAGGGAAGCTCTCATCTGTTGGGGGGACGGGACGAGACAGGAAATTGATTATCTACCACTTGCATTCCTTGCCCACCCCCCAACAATGTATTTCTCCTCAAAAGGGAGAGGTAGAGAGGTGAGGAAAAACCAAGATATCAACTGTATGCCTCCAGGCAGCCACCTGACTAGAATACAACACTCAAGTGGGTCTGGTGGGACTTAAGGTTCTCATAAAGAAAAATTACTAGCGTTCTATCTGCAGAGGTTCCAAGCTATTTCTTGTTTGTGCCATATGCAGGTCCTGACTTTCCCATGTGTCTGAGAGGCTTTGCTGCAGAGGATGGCATTGATTAGAGAGCTATTTTCCTCTGAGAGACTTGCTTTGCTTTTAGGCATGAAGCACAGTTGGCCAATGACAAACACAAAATGGAAGTGTTTGCAATACTGACATATGCAAAATGCACATCAGAAACAAGTCACTGAAGTCAAAAAGGAAATGCGTGCTAACTGG